TACTTCGTGAACTGGATGTCGGGGAATATCGAGTTCAGATTCTCTGTGAAATCCCCAATCTTGTCTTGACGAATGATGACAAACGTGTCATCAACATACCGAACCCACAATCGTGGTCGATAGTGTTCGAAAGCCAGTGCCTCAAGTCGTAGTAGTACTGCTTCGGCAATCAGGCCAGGAAGCATGGCATTCACGCGCAGACTCAATTAATAGGCATATGGAGCTTACTGATGCCTACCTCGCGTTGCGCGAGCAGATCGAGGACAGAGGTCAATCCCGGTAGAACCGACTTACTTACACTGTGAGCTGTACGTTTTTTCATTCCTTGACAATGAGCTCGCGGGAGAGTTCGAAACGTCGGACAAATACACTCCTGGTCCCAGAGAACGTCTTAATCCCTAGACAGTGTGTGTATGGACTCCAAATGGTACATGCCAGTAGACGCTTTAGTGGTATCAGTCTGGTTTTTTTACGTTTTACAAGTGGAAAATGTTGAGATATATTGTAAAATAGGCTCATTAAGGTTTGAACAATGTTGAGCCTTATTGTAAATGCGTTCAATAAAGTTTGACTGACCGACTTATCTGACTGCTTTGTCTCCCTTAATGCGTTTTGTAGTCCTCTGCGCTTTATGTAAGAAAAGGGTTCGAAAATAAACCATTCATTGACAGCGTGCCTTATATCCTTAAGTGCTTCATATGATGCGGAAAATAGGGTATACAATTTGAAGAAGAATAAGTATTTCGTTGAGAAGAAGAAGACTCGATCGCTGGGAGTCGTCTTCTAAATGAGTTCCTCGGACTCGCATGTTCGCTGGTATTGTGACAATTTTTTTCGATATTCCATGTGTATCCACTGGGGGGGGGCTAGTGTTGTACATGTTTTCTTGGTAAAAATGGATTTGAACTTGTAAGGGCATCAAAAGTCAAAGAGAAAATGTCATACTACTTAAATAGTCGTTTTTTAGAGTGCTGTATATGCAGGCGGCTGGAAATGTAGGGTTCTAAGCAGTGCTTGTACTCAGATCATGACACTCATCAGGCCAAATCCCGGATTGTAGGAAAAGATAGAAGGTGCACCAGAATGAGGAATTTTGTGGTACACAGAATCTCGAATTACCGTTTCAGGCAGCACAGTGGCGAATTGCGAAGCCGGGCCTAGTGTTGATTGCGTCCAGACGTCCCTGAAAGAGAGATGGAGAGAGAGACTGGGACAGCGGTGACAG